TACTCATGCAAATTAGGCAATTGGACATAAACATTGCCACGTGTGAGTGTTTTTTTATTTTTAACCAGAAAATAAACAGCAATTTTAACGGTGTTCCAATAAGAATTCATTGGTCAAATTTTCACAGAATGTTCTTTAGATACAAATCTATATAAAAAACGAAAAAAACTATTTTTGATTGAAATTCACAAATAAACTGCATCTCTACCTTAACATAAGAAATTGTGGCATATGTGACTGTATACATGAATACTTTAATGTTGAAAACAATTAAACAACGAATTAATAATGGAATGCAGTTTGCTACACAATACTGCCATAAAAACATTTTCTGCTACTTTGCAGTACGCCCATTTCATTTAATAACCAATTCAATTTTCCAGAACCTTTGTTTTAATACAATATTGTGTTATACTAGCAGGTGGAAAAGTTCCATCCAGCTCAGATACTGCATCTGATGAAAAACAACATGGCTTCTATGGTGTTGGAACTGGTAATAACTTATGGAGTCGCAAGGATATCAGTGCTTTATGGGAGGGACCAATAGCAGATAGTTGCTGTATAACATCCATGACAACTTTTCCTGATGGTACAATTGTTGGTATTGGAACAGATCAGCAACTCTGGACTAGACCTGGTAAAGATGGTAAATGGAGTGGACCCATTGCAAACAGCTGTTGTGTAACTGATATTACATACCTAAATGATGGTTCGCTGATTGGGATTGGCACTGGAAATAATTTATGGACTCGACCTGGTATTGAAGGTAAATGGTCTGGACCAGTTGCAAATAGCTGCTGTGTTAAATCCATTTCTCAGTTGACATCAGGTGAAATCTGAGTGTATGAGTGGAAACTATGACACGACCAGGCGTTGAAGGCAGCTGACAAAGGTGGATGATGATGGTGTTGTTTCAGACATAACAGTGACAAGTGAAGGAAATGTAGTCGGTATGGCGGGACATGTGGTCTGTGGGAGAGAAAAGAACTTCACAGTACTTGGGGAAGTGAAATTGACAACAGCAGATGCGTGAAGTCAGTATCAGTTGTTCGGACTTCTGATAGCACAGGTATGTAACACATGAATCGATATTTTGTTGATTCACACATGCTTTGTGCTATAGTGTATAGTAAGGCAAAGTTGATAAATATGCATTGTTAATTTAGTTGAACCTTAAGTAAAATGATTAGTTAATTTTATTCACATATTCACTTTAACTGGATTGGTAATCATGCCAACTATTTTTTGAATAATTAATTATCTTGTAATATCACAAGGCACATTTAACATAAGAAATTGTGGCATATGTGACTGTATACATGAATACTTTAATGTTGCAAACAATTAAACAACGAATTAATAATGGAATGCAGTTTGCTACACAATACTGCCATAAAAACATGTTCTGCTACTTTGCAGTACGCCCATTTCATTTAATAACCAATTCAATTTTCCAGAACCTTCGTTTTAATACAATATTGTGTTATACTAGCAGGTGGAACAGTTCCATCCAGCTCAGATACTGCATCTGATGAAAAACAACATGGCTTCTATGGTGTTGGAACTGGTAATAGCTTATGGAGTCGCAAGGATATCAGTGCTTTATGGGAGGGACCAATAGCAGATAGTTGCTGTATAACATCCATGACAACTTTTCCTGATGGTACAATTGTTGGTATTGGAACAGATCAGCAACTCTGGACTAGACCTGGTAAAGATGGTAAATGGAGTGGACCCATTGCAAACAGCTGTTGTGTAACAGATATTACATACCTAAATGATGGTTCGCTGATTGGGATTGGCACTGGAAATAATTTATGGACTCGACCTGGTATTGAAGGTAAATGGTCTGGACCAGTTGCAAATAGCTGCTGTGTTAAATCCATTTCTCAGTTGACATCAGGTGAAATTCTTGGAGTTGGTATGAGTGGAAAACTATGGACACGACCAGGCGTTGAAGGCAGCTGGACAAAGGTGGATGATGATGGTGTTGTTTCAGACATAACAGTGACAAGTGAAGGAAATGTAGTCGGTATTGGCGGGACATGTGGTCTGTGGGAGAGAAAAGAACTTCACAGTACTTGGGGAAGTGAAATTGACAACAGCAGATGCGTGAAGTCAGTATCAGTTGTTCGAACTTCTGATAGCACAGGTATGTAACACATGAATCGATATTTTGTTGATTCATACATGCTTTGTGCTATAGTGTATAGTAAGGCAAAGTTGATAAATATGCATTGTTAATTTAGTTGAAACCCAAGTTAAACGGTCAGTTGATTTTATCCACATGCCCTTTTTAACTGGATTGGTAATTGTTCCAACTATTTTTTGAATAATTAATTATCCTGTAATATCACAAGGCATATTTAACATACGAAATTGTGGCATATGTGAATGTATACATGAATACTTTAATGTTGCAAACAATTAAACAATGAGAGAATAATTGAACACATAGTGCTACACAATACTGCCATAAAAACATTTTCTGTTACTTTTCAGAACGCCCATTTCATTTAATATCTAATTCAATTTGCCAAACATTCGTTTTAATACAATATTGTATTATACTTGCAGGTGGAAAATTTCCATCCAGCTCAGTTACTGTATCTGATGAAAAACAACATGGCTTCTATGGTGTTGGAACTGGTAATAACTTATGGAGTCGCAAGGATATCAGTGCTTTATGGGAGGGACCAATAGCAGACAGTTGCTGTATAACATCCATGACAACTTTTCCTGATGGTACAATTGTTGGTATTGGAACAGATCAGCAACTCTGGACTAGACCTGGTAAAGATGGTAAATGGAGTGGACCCATTGCAAACAGCTGTTGTGTAACTGATATTACATACCTAAATGATGGTTCGCTGATTGGGATTGGCACTGGAAATAATTTATGGACTCGACCTGGTATTGAAGGTAAATGGTCTGGACCAGTTGCAAATAGCTGTTGTGTTAAATCCATTTCTCAGTTGACATCAGGTGAAATTCTTGGAGTTGGTATGAGTGGAAAACTATGGACACGACCAGGCGTTGAAGGCAGCTGGACAAAGGTGGATGATGATGGTGTTGTTTCAGACATAACAGTGACAAGTGAAGGAAATGTAGTCGGTATTGGCGGGACATGTGGTCTGTGGGAGAGAAAAGAACTTCACAGTACTTGGGGAAGTGAAATTTCCAACAGTAGATGCGTGAAGTCAGTATCAGTTGTTCGAACTTCTGATAGCACAGGTATGTAACACATGAAATGATATTTTGTTGATTCATACATGCTTTGTGCTATAGTGTATAGTAAGGCAAAGTTGATAAATATGCATTGTTGATTTAGTTGAACCCTAAGTAAAATGATTAGTTAATTTTATTCACATATTCACTTTAACTGGATTGGTAATCATGCCAACTATTTTTTGAATAATTAATTATCTTGTAATATCACAAGGCACATTTAACATAAGAATTGTGGCATATGTGAATGTATACATGAATACTTTAATGTTGCAAACAATTAAACAACGAATTAATAATGGAATGCAGTGTGCTACACAATACTGCCATAAAAACATTTTCTGCTACTTTGCAGTACGCCCATTTCATTTAATAACCAATTCAATTTTCCAGAACCTTTGTTTTAATACAATATTGTGTTATACTAGCAGGTGGAAAAGTTCCATCCAGCTCAGATACTGCATCTGATGAAAAACAACATGGCTTCTATGGTGTTGGAACTGGTAATAACTTATGGAGTCGCAAGGATATCAGTGCTTTATGGGAGGGACCAATAGCAGATAGTTGCTGTATAACATCCATGACAACTTTTCCTGATGGTACAATTGTTGGTATTGGAACAGATCAGCAACTCTGGACTAGACCTGGTAAAGATGGTAAATGGAGTGGACCCATTGCAAACAGCTGTTGTGTAACTGATATTACATACCTAAATGATGGTTCGCTGATTGGGATTGGCACTGGAAATAATTTATGGACTCGACCTGGTATTGAAGGTAAATGGTCTGGACCAGTTGCAAATAGCTGCTGTGTTAAATCCATTTCTCAGTTGACATCAGGTGAAATTCTTGGAGTTGGTATGGGTGGAAAACTATGGACACGACCAGGCGTTGAAGGCAGCTGGACAAAGGTGGATGATGATGGTGTTGTTTCAGACATAACAGTGACAAGTGAAGGAAATGTAGTCGGTATTGGCGGGACATGTGGTCTGTGGGAGAGAAAAGAACTTCACAGTACTTGGGGAAGTGAAATTTACAACAGTAGATGCGTGAAGTCAGTATCAGTTGTTCGAACTTCTGATAGCACAGGTATGTAACACATGAAATGATATTTTGTTGATTCATACATGCTTTGTGCTATAGTGTATAGTAAGGCAAAGTTGATAAATATGCATTGTTGATTTAGTTGAACCCTAAGTAAAATGATTAGTTAATTTTATTCACATATTCACTTTAACTGGATTGGTAATCATGCCAACTATTTTTTGAATAATTAATTATCCTGTAATATCACAAGGCATATTTAACATACGAAATTGTGGCATATGTGAATGTATACATGAATACTTTAATGTTGCAAACAATTAAACAACGAATTAATAATGGAATGCAGTGTGCTACACAATACTGCCATAAAAACATTTTCTGCTACTTTGCAGTACGCCCATTTCATTTAATAACCAATTCAATTTTCCAGAACCTTCATTTTAATACAATATTGTGTTATACTAGCAGGTGGAAAAGTTCCATCCAGCTCTGATACTGCATCTGATGAAAAACAACATGGCTTCTATGGTGTTGGAACTGGTAATAACTTATGGAGTCGCAAGGATATCAGTGCTTTATGGGAGGGACCAATAGCAGATAGTTGCTGTATAACATCCATGACAACTTTTCCTGATGGTACAATTGTTGGTATTGGAACAGATCAGCAACTCTGGACTAGACCTGGTAAAGATGGTAAATGGAGTGGACCCATTGCAAACAGCTGTTGTGTAACTGATATTACATACCTAAATGATGGTTCGCTGATTGGGATTGGCACTGGAAATAATTTATGGACTCGACCTGGTATTGAAGGTAAATGGTCTGGACCAGTTGCAAATAGCTGTTGTTTTAAATCCATTTCTCAGTTGACATCAGGTGAAATTCTTGGAGTTGGTATGAGTGGAAAACTATGGACACGACCAGGCGTTGAAGGCAGCTGGACAAAGGTGGATGATGATGGTGTTGTTTCAGACATAACAGTGACAAGTGAAGGAAATGTAGTCGGTATTGGCGGGACATGTGGTCTGTGGGAGAGAAAAGAACTTCACAGTACTTGGGGAAGTGAAATTGACAACAGCAGATGCGTGAAGTCAGTATCAGTTGTTCGGACTTCTGATAGCACAGGTATGTAACACATGAATCGATATTTTGTTGATTCATACATGCTTTGTGGTATAGTGTATAGTAAGGCAAAGTTGATAAATATGCATTGTTAATTTAGTTGAAACCCAAGTTAATCGGTCAGGTGATTTTATCCACATGCTCAATTTAACTGGATTGGTAATTGTTCCAACTATTTTTCGAATAATTAATTATCTTGTAATATCACAAGGCACATTTAACATACGAAATTGTGGCATATGTGAATGTATACATGAATACTTTAATGTTGCAAACAATTAACCAATGAGAGAATAATTGAACACAGAGTGCTACACAATACTGCCATAAAAACATTTTCTGTTACTTTTCAGAACGCCCATTTCATTTAATATCTAATTCAATTTGCCAGAACATTCGTTTTAATACAATATTGTTTTATACTTGCAGGTGGAAAAATTCCATCTAGATCAGATACTGCATCTGATGAAAAACAGCAGGATTTCTATGGTGTTGGAACTGGTAATATGTAATTTCATACGCGAATACTTTAATGTCGCCTACACTTAAACGAAAGTTATTAATATAATAGTGTTCTACACGCAATTATTAACAAGATAACAATTATTAGTCAATTATATCATACCATTACCCATATTTGCATTACATCATACATTCATCATTACATTACATCATCTCTTAATCAATATGAAATTTTGACGTTTAATTTGATAATAAATGCAATTGTTTCAATACGGCTGTGTTTATGATGTTAAATGTAATGTCACAAGGCACAACGACGTTAGAGATTGTACCAAATATAAATGTATATATGAACACTTCAATGTTGCCGAAAATTAAACACCAAGTGAATAATGTAACACATTGTTCTACACAATACAGTCATAAAAACATTTAATAACGAATTCAATTTTTGAGAACATTCTTTTTGATAAAATATTGGGTTATCTTTACAGGTGAAGAAATTCCATCCAGCTCAGATACTTCATCTGATGAAAAACAGCAAGGCTTCTATGGTGTTGGAACTGGTAATATGTGGTTTCATACATGAACACATTGTTCTCCTCTATACAGTCATAAAACATTTTCTGCTATCCAGTGATGATATGAATGATCCTAATTAATCAACCTGAAAATGAGTAAAATAATTGATTCAAAAATTGCCACTGAAGGCCCTTGTTTTGCCTCCCCACTCAATGCCGTTCTATTCATTACAGTCATTGCGTCCATTGTACCCTTACCTATATAACCATCGTAGGAAACGGGATGGTTGTAGAAAATAGAACATTAGTTTTTGGTTTGTGTTGAGTCGTGTGGTTCTCTCACTCTCAACAAGATACTCACGGTCATTTGCGAATAACGTAAGATCTTGCATCAGAAACATTCACCATTTTTCCATTTCCCTGTTATATATCAGATACATCAAAATCATCACATCGTATTGATGTTGGTAAAGACCGGCCTGGAGGTGACATGAATGATGGTAATTCAAATTTGGTAGATAGTGCGGAAGAATGCTATTGTGCATGTATTCAGACCAATGGTTGCCAGGCTTGGTCATTTCGTACTGACAGTAATGGTTGTTGGTTAAAGAACTCTGTACCAGATCAAACAACGTTAGATACTGCTATATCTGGAGTCATTTCAGGTAAGATGGCAATTATTATTATATTATATCATACCATTGCCCATATTTACATTACAACATAGATATACATTATCAGGCGATTTAATGTTTACGCATTACGTTCAATCGGCTCTGAATCAACAGAAAAATGCAACTATTCCGATACTGCAGTGTTTATGGTGTAAAGATAAAGGCACATTAAAAATACAAACGAACACAAACAAGAGTTCTCATAAATCTTGTATCAACTTTCAGCCTTCGTTTGCTTTCAACTCAGTGTGTTGACTGCGCATTTCAACATGCGTGTGATTAATGTGTATATGCCTATCAGTGCACATGTTTATGTTGCTGAGACATCAGATCGACGAGAATCTCACAAATGTGAGCACTTCCGAGTTAGGTACTTAAATTCAATGTCGACCAAACCACGAGCCACACACCATATTTCAGACGAACGTGGTTCACGTTTCTGGCGATTTTAAAAAATATTAGTTATGGCGCGAACATTTGTATGACATTATATAGTTTTGAAAACCAATCTAACGAATTGTGGGATATTTAACTCCAAAATTATCGCTGCCACCGTCATCTGCATCTTTAATCTTACACACGAGGCAGTAGTGTATCTGACTCAACACACCATATCCAACCATTCAACGCACAATTTCATTGTGTAGGTTCAATTCATGGATTTTTCTAACACACCTTCCCACAATATACAAAACCCGTATTTGAATAAGTTCAAAAGATTATTGGCTTAGGGAATTGTAATTGTAATCTTAGTACATGGAACTGAAAATTAGCCCAAATGCGTGTTCTACCTCCTCTATTATGTGCAGTAGTTTTATGTTAAATAAGAGCAATGACATCTATGTGTCTATTTAATTCAATGCTAAGATGAAGCAACATCTCAGTGGAGTTCATCATATAACATGGTGTGCCAACATACAGTACGAAGTGCAGAACTCAAATTTGAATGGTGCAAGTGGGTCGCCATAAAAC